GGGGGGGGGGGAAGATAAACTAGACCACCAACAGACCCTCTTCACCGTGTTCCGATTCTGTTCGGTCCATCCTTACCTCTCTTCCACCCTGTACCAACCAATCTCATTGTTTGCTGCAAACTCAAATGTATTTCATCTAATCAGAATTTGGACTGTATCCTGGCCATTTCTGTATTTCCATCTTGCGCACAAAAATCCCATTTTCATTTTCGCGACTGGTGGCACCTTACTGCCGTCCCCATGTCCCTGTCTGTCCCCGTCTGTCCCATCTGACGCTATCAGCCTCATCTTCGCCAGGGCGTAGTGGCCCATAATCACATATTAAAAATTTAATTACACTTGCACGCCGCGTTGCATTCTACATTTGATATTCTGTTCTGGTGTGCCGAGGAGAGGACTGCGCTAAACGGAGGCTGATTTATTGATTTGCGTGTTGCTCTCACCCACCCCGCTCGTTTGTTTGCCATGTGAAAAACTGAGAGGTTTCACCATGCCTCCCGGTAACGAGTAGCAGGACGAGACCGTGGACCCCGTCCTGGGGGCATGCGGACAGCTCCTTGACGCCCGATTTGCACGGAAACCGAAATGAGCCTGAGCGGAAGATCAAGCCGTGTCCAATTCGAACTGCCACTCTGCTGTTAGCGGGTTACCGTTGCGTGTAGCCTCCTATCCTCCATGTACCAAGGATGAAGAAAAAAGGAAGGCCGGACAAAACGATCCCTAACGTTACGATGGGTAATACGCCTCACTGTCTGCCACGATGCCCCTGTCAATCAAGCCAGGCTCTCCACGGCTGCTGGTCTTTGACCTCGATCTTTCTGTCAGCACTTTAGATTGCCTTTTTTGGGGGGGGGGGCACAATGGCAATCTCAAAGAAACTGACTTTCCCTACAGAATTTTCCAGCTGAGGAAGGAGAGCACAGCCAGGTCACACAGATTCAATCACGACAGAGGGCTCAGTGGCATCTGTGACTTTTAGCCCCGCCCCTCCACTATCCGTTTCTCAGCTCTTCAATGCTACTGCTTAGCTCATGCATCAACAGGCAAATGCAGTGTGTCAAACCTTTTAAAAATAATGTAATGATTTTATGGAACCATTAAAAAACAACACTTGAATTCTGAAACAAAATCCCCCCGCATTCAGGATTTGCCCTTACACGAGTAGAGTCTTCGCCAGCCTGCTCAGATCTCCCCCCCCCAAAGCCTGCCACTCATAACAGGCCATCACAATAAGGGTGTTTTACCGCCACACCAGGGCACCATACTTTTGGTTCTTCGAGACGGTACCAAAAGTACGGTACTTCAAGGTTTTGGCTTTCCACTGCCGTAAAAAAACTGGTACCGGTGGTAAATAACATTACTTGAGACGGGGTATATTTGATTAAATTTGAAAAATGGCTGCAGCATATTATAGGACTGGACGACAGGCGATATTAATACCGATGCCGCATGTTATACATCGCTAGTCAGATTAAGAACAGGCTTAAGAACATAGCACAGGGGGTTCAAAGTTTTGCTGAAATATTTTTGCTCTTACTTTGTCATAGGAGAAAAAAAAAAAAAACTTAGCAAGCTGTGCAATTTTAATTATTATTTGTTTTATAGATTCTTATATGTTTAAAAAAAGTTTAAAAGTTTTACCTTTCGCCATGAGCGCTGCATGCAATCTCCGAGACAATTGTGATCATTTTCATCCTTGTTGGTTAAAAATCACTGGAAGGCGGGTTTTATTACAAAAATCACATGGCTATATTTATAATTTAAAAAAATATATTAAAATCACATCGTTAGGACAACACACAATATGCGTGCTGCATTACTATATTCAACAAAAATATACATATATATATTTTCAACCTGTTTTTAAGGCGCCGTTTGTATTGCGTTTCAGAGGCAGGCTATTTGCATAACCAAATCAACAATTCAAGTTCCACCCCAAAGTACCGACATACTAAAGAAGTTCCCCAGCTGGTTTGGCACTTTCGGTACTGGTACTGAAGCTCACTGGTGTATAACAAACAGCAGCGACGGCAGAGGCTTATAGGGGCAGGCACAGTCTCTCTGCAATGGGCACGCTAATATGCCACCTGGTGCTATGCTGAATGCGACATAACAGCGAGGGCTGGGCAGAACCCATCAGCGGGCATGAAGAGCGGAGGGGAGATCGGCACAGTGAAGACCTAATGTCCCAGAGTGCCACCTGTAGGGACGCCGTGGGTGTGGGTGGGGCAGCACAGCAGAAAGATGTGTCCGGCAGAGATAAACACAGCTTTATCAGAAAGCAAGACACGCCATTCGCTCAGCCCCACCCGCCTCAGCCGGCAAGTTAATGCCACTCACAGGTGACATTTTACAGCGATAGCAGGCCGTAATGAAGTGTAAAACACAATTCTGCTAAGAGCCTGGCGAGCATTCGTCAAAGGGGTGACAGATCTTGGTCGTTCTGCACCAGATAGCGGACAAAGATAGTTCAGGCCTTCACACGAAAGGAAGGGGGGGGAGGGGGCTAGTGTGTGACGGGCAAACAGGAGCTTTTTCAAACTCACCAGAGAGGCGGAGAAAGGTGACATTATTCACATCCACAAAAGCTCACTCTGTGTGTGTGTGGATATTTCCTTGAAGAAATGTCATGTTGCGTGCTAGCGGTATTATAATAGCAGGCTGCTCCCTACACCTCACCACGAAATCCTGACAGAAGGAAGGACAATGGAGATCCAAGGCCTGGACGGCAGCCGTGTCGCGCCTACGGGGGCGGAAGCAGCAGGGTGTGACTCACCGAAGCCGACAGACCGGGGGCTCGTATCAGCTCTGGGGTACCGTGTGATGCAAACGCGATTCATCCCATATTCATTAGAGAACTCCAGGAACTCCATGTTGGCCCCAGGCCGGCTCCTCTGGCCAGCTGTCCCAGAATGCCCTGCGGCAGCTGTCAGAATCTCATTATGCCGCATAGCAACGACAAGAGACACAGGACCCATTTCCGGGTCAACAAAAAGGCAAGGCCATTAATGTCTCCGGCAGGGTTGGGGGGGGGGGGGGCAAAGGGTCAGGGTCCGCAAGCCAGACTGTTAATTAGTAAAGCGCACAAACAGTGAATGCGCCAATGGTTCTGTTGAATCGCCCCTTAATTAAGCAGTCAAACGCATCCCCAGAACAAGGCCGGCGCTGTGACAGCAAGGTTAATATTTCATGGCTCTGTCCTGGTGAATGTTGAGTCGTGTGAGGCAGGACGCACAAGAAATGAGTGTGTGTGTGCGCGCATGTGTGTGTGCGTGTGTTGGGGAGTGGGTTGCAGACAGATATAGAAAGAGAAAAATCCACGTGCACGCTCACCCCCCTGACAAACACTCATGCGTGCAAACTCAACTCATGACAAACGCTCGTGTGCCTGCACAGCCATGCCAATTCGCCATTTTCAGGTCCACCGTTATTACAAATGAGGCTTTTTTAGATTAATCATCGTCATTAGGCCCTGAGGATTAGTCGCTAAGGAATAACTGCTCTAAAAAAACAATGTTATTTTTAGTCCGCCGGATTCGCCTCCACAGTGCTAAATGTACTTGTGCAGTCTTCAAGTCTTCCGGGACATCTTGAGATGGTCTCACCTCAGGTGATCTCACGCTCTCAGTCTCTTACGTTCACCGGACTGCAAACGCCAATCCCTCCTCCTCCTCAGAGCGCCAACTGTCCCCTGGCGACAAAGACGAAGCAATGCAACATTTGCCTTCAGAGCGTTTCTGCTCGAGGTTCATCACTGTGTTTAATTCATTCTTGCCATCAGTAACATCAATGCAGTGATAGTCACCCGTTTCTGATTCATCAGGAGGCAAGTATCACATGGGTGCATTAACCCCTTGGGTTGGGTGCTCCAGTCACAAACAAAAATCACAATTCCAGTTTCAATATATAAACCCTTATGTCAAGCACCCTATTTGCGCTGTCCTGTGTTTTTGCACTTTAAGTATTGTGAAAACCCTTCCCCTGTCAGTGCACAATGTTGCACTGTGGTCCTGGGGGGGCTATTTTGTGCTAGTGTATACCTGTATATGGAGGGTAAGACAATAAAGCCCACTTGACTTGATTTGAAGTACATCAAAGGTCAGAAAAACATGTTTGACTATCAATAAACACCAGAAGATTTAAGTTAGCTCATGTCAGTGGCTGGTATAAGTTTCTGGTATAATATATGACATTCATTTAAATTTTTATTATACAAGAAATTAAAAACAAACAGAAGTAATAAGAAATCTAGTCAGACAAAAGCTTTTATGTACAGAAATTTCACACAGGTGTTTTTCCCAGATGTAGAACCAATAAAATTCACAAGTTCACACAAAATCACTTAAGAATCATTCGTATGTTTTAATTAAGCTCCATTAGTGTGGGTGTTCAGTTTCCCTCTTTCTTTCTCACTGTACTCCTTTGACTGTGATATATGGGTCTGGCTAATCAAGCTAACGATGCCATTCGATAGGCTTGTTACTTTTTGTAATTTATTCCCCAGGAGGGCTGGCTTTCTGCTGCCAGAAAAGCACAGAGAAAAAAGATTAATATTCATCCAATCGGCAAACAAAACAGAACAAAGCAAAAAAAAAAAAAACCATCTCATGTAATGAACAAACTCAATTGGCATTTAATAACAAGACAAAGGGACGGGTGCTGATGGTCCATGTTGATCCGAAATATTTAGTTAGTGTACCTGAACAGAAAACTTGGATAGAAGTCTCACCCCTTTACACACACACACACACACACACACCTCGAGATCCGGTTAAATGAGCAGCTAGCCCCTCAATTTAGGGATTAGCAAATGGGACTGAGTAGTAACAACGGTAGTAGATGCTACTAGTTCTTTCGCCACGTCAAGGATATTTTAGGCATGGCTGCCCTGCAGGCATTTTGGGGACAGACAAAAGGTCGAAACATATATCCAACCGTTCCTCCAATTCCTGTACCCACTTGTTCTATTCAGGATCGGGGTGGGTGGGGGGGGGTGGCCAGAGTCTATGGGGGCAAGTCAGGGAACAACCCAGGATGGGCCACCAATCCATTGCGGGGCACACACACACACACACACACACACACACCTACAGGCAACATGGTAACTCCAATTCACTGGAGTACCCAGAGGAAATCCTATGACAACATGGATAGAACATGCAAAATTCATGCACACTACAGCCAACCTGGCTCCCGGAGATGTGAGGCAACAGTGATAACCACAGCAGTATTACTGAGCCCAAGTTCAAAAAATACAACTCTTAATGTTAACCAAGTGTCTTTCTCATTGCGATACTGGAGGGGTATATTACCACTGGTTTGTGAGGACAGTGGATGGGGTCAGCGTTTACTGAGGGTAGGAATAAAACAATCTCGACTCAAAATCCACTTCCCACATCAATATTCAGAGGAGATATTCCACTGCAGAGCCACAAGAATTGGATGGACGGATGGATGCGAAATCCAAAAGACATCTCCACTTTAATATGCAACGGGCTAGCTGAAATCCATTAGTCAGGGAGTTTGGAGTCGTTTCAACCGAAGGCTCTCCGTGACAGAAGTGAAATTAATTTAGCACCAATGGCTTGTCAGAATGCTGAGAGTTAGCCATGGAAGGAAATTATAGCATCGACGTGCAGTCTCCTTTCTGTACCACTCTTAGGAAAACACAATTCGCTGCCTGTTTCCATCGACACTGGTTGTATTACAGAACCTGGGCTAAATAAATATAATCCCAAATGCTTTCTATCTGCCCAGAAGGGTCTCTCCCCCACCTTCTGCTTGCACTGGAAAATAGTACCAGACAGTAGAGTATATAAAAGCTGCAAAGGAATAATAAATCAACAGGGCTGAATCGATGCCGAGTCCAGACCCAGATTTACATGCTAGCCCACGGCAAAACTGCACCGTGGTTTCCTACCATGCTTAGAAAAAGGGATACTGATGGAAGAGAGTTTAATTTGACTGTGTGAATCAGACCCCCCCATCAAACAAGCGTAAAGATAACACAAGAAGGCATAGCTGGGAAAGACCTAGGAATTGAGGCCCCACTAGTGAGCCTTCTATGATACACAAGACAGACACATCCACGGCAAGGTCTAGCACAAAACATGACACACCTACAGGTCCAAAACACCTGGTTCGAACAGGGCCTGAATCCTGAAACCACCTCCCAGCCCCACTTTCCTCATTCTAACGCTTTCAAACTAGCATAAATCATTAAAAAAGAATCATATCTTGTTTTACAATCATTTGGGGGCAGCATGTGGAGGTTTAATGTCCCATTACTAATGTCCATACCCAGTCCCATTCAATAATGATGTAGAAATCACCATTGGGAAAGCGCCATCAAAATTATTGCGCTGTGCACACACACCACGTGCTGCTTAAGGGGTAATTACTGGAGCAGTGTCCCCAGCTAGACCAGATAGGAGCCTACCCTCCAACCACCCACTGCCCAGCCTGTCCGTCCCACAACGCCCAGGGTTCAGCGATCTCACGCTCCAAAGGGGGACCTTCACAAAAAGAGGAAGCTAGCCACCAATTCGATGACGGTGCAATGTTTCCAGGCACTGTGCAGAGACTCAGCATCAGCTACATTATAATGTGGGGATATGGGTGAAACGGACCCTTGGTTTTCATTAATATGGATATAAAGCTCTAATCACATTCAATTCTTATGTGATAATTACCCAGAATCCTGAGCTTCAGGTGATATCAGGGATGAGTGACCACAGTTTCATCGAAGACACGGTTTTTTTATTCCTCACCACAAAATCCCGCTGCTTTCATACACAAACATATTTCACGGTCTGCTTTGAAGCCACCTGTAAAACCCAGCTCTATTTCCTCTTAAATTTGGAAGGTTTTCTTTCATTTAAAAAGGCAATTACCCTTTAAAGGTCAAACGGTCATTTGTGATAACAGGACTCTTGTTCCCCCTCTGTTGGGTCGGTGAGCATAAATGACGCAGTGCTGACATCTTCACATTTCCAGAGGGGTCAGTGAGCAGGCGAGAGCGCAGCGCAAAGCCATCTCATCTCCATCTCCACGCTCAGACAGCCTGGCACACGCCAAGACTGCAGCGGGGGTGGCTGGCTGCCCCCATTTGGGGATGGGGGGGGGTAAGCAAGAAATCAGAAAGAGTAAAAGTTAATTGCAGCTTAACCAGGGCCATGCTGCTTCTGTAGAGTTTTCTCACTTATCCACCAAAGGAGGGGGTAAATAATGCAAGTAGAATCAATACAAAGAAGAGGCCGACACTAAAGCTTTGCGATGCGCGTGACGGTGAGGGGGGAAAAAGGCACCGTGCTGGAGAAGCTGCCAGTTCATCTTCAGGCCCACAAAGATGGGACTGCGTGCTATAAAAACCGGACCCAGGCCCACAGCCTGAATCTCAGACCAGTGCTGCCTCTTCATGACCTTAAGGCTCATAAATACATCACTGCCATGTAAGAACCGACAAAGTGCCCTATCAGGGGGCTACTGTACAAAGTCAAAGCACCGTAACTGCATATTTTATCAAAGTCTGTTAGCCTCCATTTTATCTTGTAACAAAGTAACTTAGTTCAACTGTGCTCAATTTTGAAGAAAAACGTCATTTACCTATGTACTACTATACTATACAAACGGGCGGACAGTCAAAAAACTCCAAGCCCTTTTCCTCAGTTTCCATTTCAGCAGAGTTACTGTGCTTTGCCTTTGTAGGGCAGGAGGGAAATGAGATAGAGAGAGAGAGAGAGAGAGAGAGAAGGAGAGAGAGAGAGAGGAGACATCTCCCTGTCGCCACACACACAGGGCTGCCAGGTTCTCAGGTCGCCGCGAGATGGATCCTCCCCACCCATAGAACCAGCAGTGTTGCTTTTATTATTCTGTTAGCAAACCCCAGCAAAAAAAAAAAATGGCACAAAGACACCAACATAGGAGCTGTTTTGTTTACCATTTGCTGGCAAAGAAACTGGAACACTCCCAAAAAATAAGAAATCATGCTTTTCTATTGGGGAGATTCTGGTCCGAGAGGTTAACACATTATACCAAGCACTGTCAATGAAGGAAGGAAGATAGGAAGGGGTTAAACAGTGCCAGGCTGAAACATAAAACCCCCACTATAAACACAAATAAAACAGAGCTCTTTATTCATTATCCTTTCCAAACACAGGCCTACTCCAGATGGAAGCATCAATGCTCATTTGAACCTCCTGCAACAGCAGTTGCAATTAGCAAGGATCAAACCTCTTACCTAATAGTGAAATCAGCAATTAAAAAAAGTGGGAATTTGTTTTCCAATACAGAAGTTAAATCTAAAAGCAATAATGTGCTAACAGCCCGTTTGCCCAAACCGTGGATTAGCTGCCAATACTCCACTAGGCTGGCTCCACTTATATGGCAATTACAATCATGGCCTTGCGCCGCTCGCGAGACCCTCCCAATCACTTCTCCCCTTTTTTCCGCCAGTATGGGACTCTGATTAGTATGGAGTCGTTAATCGAAAGGCGTCACGGGGACTTCTAATGGCCGGCGTGCTGCTGGGGCTTTCCCCCCACAGCCGGGCAAACTGGGGGTATTGGGAGGGGCCCCTAATTTAGCTTCATTTGGTGCTTGATCATGCCCATTTGTTGTTTAGGGGAAGGGTTGGATGGGCTGTGGACAGCTGCCAGTGCCAGAATGCCGATGCCACTCGAGGAATTCAGCAGCCCAGTTGCAGTACACTCTCCCTCCCACTACAGGACCAGAGAACTTCACCAGCCCCCACCCCCAAATCAAGCAAATTAATGCAAAAAGGTGTTTGGATGTTCTCTCTCAGCATACGGGAGGGGGAGTGGGCACAGAGGGACTGTGCAGTACTTGAAGGCTGCTCCATCAGCTGGATCACACATGGGGGCGGAAAAATGGCCTGGGTCCCGATGGCACCGGAGATAATGGGCAGAGCGCTGGCGGCTTAGAGTCAGCATGGTGCGCAGAAGCCATTTTCCCTGTCGCTAATACTGGAATCGGCCATCGAGCATCCACAAGGAGAAGAACAACGCTCGCTCTACCACGGAACTGGTTTTTCATCCATCTTACAAGCTGTTTAAGCGCTGACCGGATAAATAAGAGCGCAAACACCGACAAGATCGTGAGTTAGGCCAAGTCATCGTTCACAGAGATGATTGCTCAAGGGGTTGCATGCCAGCTTGATGGCCAGACGTGACAAGAGGTCAGGAATCAGAACCCAGCTCTGGATTTATGTTATCTGGCTAACAGCTCATTTTGTGACCCCTCAAGATCTACTGTAGCCAGTGGCCATACTAGTGATATGTCCCTGGTCATGCACCTGGCTCAACTGGCTGGGGCTTTATGACGATGTACCCAGTCTATACAGCTGAAGACAGAAAATCAGCTTTCAAATACAGTTCTCACAAACAGTACCACGCCACGTCAGAGCCCCAGCAGTCATGCTCAGTCCATCACCGAGAAACTGAGCTTAGTACTAAATAGGACATTTCACAGATACTGATTTATCATATAGTTCTGATCACAGATTACAGGGACAACTACATGCACGACAATATATTAATATTTTAAAACTAATATTAGAAAACACTTATGACACCAACAGTAAAATTCCAGGGCATGGTTTAAGGAAGCAGCTCTCAGTAGATATCAAGATATCAATCACTCATGACACAACGACAGACACAATTTAGACTTGATTAGTGTAGCCTTGCCGCGTGACCAGATGTGATTAGAATGCCCTCTTATGCTTGTGTTGTAAGGGAAGGCAGTGGCTCATGTCAAGAGCAAGCACCCACAGACATCAGCTATAGAAGCCTCGCTATCTCTCTGTATGGTTTCCCTCTTCCCCCCAGGTAGCATCAGGGACAGCAAGCAGACAGATGGAGCTTCAGCTCAACACATCTCATTAAGCGGGTACCTCCAACCTGCTGGAGCAGGTGGCTCCTCTGACGTTTCAATTGAGTGAAGGGAACTGTGAGCTGGATCACGTTTGGTCGGTAAGAGGAAAAAAAAAAAAAAGGCCCTGTCTTTTACAGAAATTTTTACCTACTGAGCATTAGGAGAGCATTCAAGCCCATAACCTTCTCTTTGTAAAAATGACCCGACTTTATCACCTTTTTATCATATTTTAATGGTTCTTCCCAGGCCATCAAACGACTTGGCAACACACAGCCTGGTCTACCTTAACATCCCATCAAATTGCAAGCTGAAGAATTCCACACTCCTACCTCAATTATAGGTTCTGTTTACGGAGGTTAAAACTGCATACGTGTCAAATAAGACATTTGATTAAGCCAAAGTTCTAAATTATGCACCCAACATGTTCTTGCATTTCAGACCCCACGAGGCAAGAAATGGGTTTAATAAGATAAAATTTCATATTCAGTCGGTTCCGCGGCTCACCTGATCCCCTTTGAGGAATCCCTCTGCCATCAGCCCAGAATCAGAGACCAGAGAGAATTCTGGGAGAAAACACTTCACAGCTGTTCCTTGACTTGGGCTGACATTTACAGCAGTACTTACTCAATGTTTGAACAGCACCCGAGGAGCTGTCACTTTCTCCTGCCTCCATCCCTCACAGACGGGCATGAATGATTAAACGTCAATCCCAGACGTTGGAGGGGATTCAAACAAATTCACCTGCAGCTTTCCTCGATAAAGAGACCTGAAATGAAAATACAGAACAATTTGAGAAAGATGAACTATAACAACAAGAACTGTATTAGTTTATTTCAAAGCCACTTAAAATTGCAAGCAAGTGACAGTTATTAGTGATGGCCGCTCACACAGGCTGTGTGCAAAAGTGATGCAAAGCAAAAGCACGGGATAATTTAGAAAGAACTATGGGATAACCAGATGAAGCCAATGTATCACAGCAAAAGACATATTAAGCTCCAGATAATCCAATCTGACTGTAGTCTCATGCAGAGAATAACAAGATGGGGACAGGAGAAAGGGATAGAAGAGGATGAATACAAAAAGAAAAGACGGTAACGGGAAAAGGGAAAAAGATCGGCTACTGAGCCCACAGAGGGCCTGTCAGCACTGCAGGGAAACCCAGTCTGTAGAACAGGGAAATTTCAGTGTGTAGTGTAGAACTTCGACATGTGGGAGACCGATCCACAGCTACTTTTGTAGGACAGGCTGGCCTAAGCGTTAGTCATCATCAAAAGACCATGTCGTCTGACCTTAAAAGGAGGTGGGAGCAGGCAGATACACGATAAGCCCAGGAAATATATAAATAAACCTGTCTATTTAAAAGGAAACATCTCACTACATCTGTATCTCTATTACAGGACAGGTCTTTCACAGAAGCTTACAGAGATACTGGTCTGAATGTGTGGCTGAAAGCTCTGATCTTTTTGTGTGTGTGTGTATAGGGCAGGCTGAGAATGATAACCGAGGTCAGGCACAACCATCCAAGCTACAATCCCTTTACTGGGATTATAAAAATGCCCCTCCGCTTTTGGGAAGCAGACTGCTGTCTGAGGGAGGCATGCGCGACTTTCACAAAATTTCACTTCAAAAACATCCACCCAGCACTCCTCGGCTGGGCCTAAGAAACTGAAAGGAAGCCTTTTTTAAAGCTCAGGTATGGTGATAAATTCGAATAAAAGCCCAGACTGCATAAAATATAACTCACGTCTCACAGAAGTGAGTTGGCGAGGGATACAAGATGTATACTTACAGGTAAAGCGGGAGTCATGTAAAGTTCATCAGAATACTTTACTAAACACGGACATTAATAAATCTGACCTTTTGTCCAGAAAAAAAATACACTAAACTTGGCGTAAATCTGAATAACAAGTGGGATATATCAAACTCATACCGAGAAAATACAGGACTGAACAATAAAACCGGTACTTACAGAAAGCCGCATGTGGATCGGAAATGTTTGCGCCGCAGATTAACAAGAAAAACAAACGCAACCCGAAATCAACCAAATTTCCCACTCGCAATCTCTATCGTGGTGAGTACACGTAAACAACAGTTACTCTGAGGACTTTTTATGAGGGTTAAAGATAAGGCTCAGCTCTCAGATGGAAAATAATTCACAAGACCTTCGAGCGCGAGCCTGTTAAGGGAGCATCCATAAAGTGGCGCGCCTCGTAAAAAGCGGAAGTGTGCCCTATAGCTGTCACTTTTCACCGTCTCGTTATGAACTGCGGGGTCGTTTCAAGGTGTTATTCATTTCGGGAACTGTCCATAATAAAGAAACCGGTACAAGTACAAAACGTTGCATCTGGACCCGTAGTCTCAGATGACTCTAAATTACAAGGACAATCAAATAATTACGCAAACTAGCAAGACAATAACTAATTATTAATTACATTAGTTACTGACTGTAGGTCCGACCAGATAAAAATCACTAATAATAATAATAATAATAATAATAATAATAATGCCTTTTAAAAATACTTTATTAGTGGATGTGTTGCCCTTCACAACCATGCCTCACAAATCCGTAACAACAAGAAGGAACTATTTACGGTAAATTTATACCCCTTTCTAGAGACTGGGACGCTATTAATAATATATAATAATAATAATAATAATAATAATAATAGGTGTGAAATCCAAAGAACTGGAATAAAATAATAACAACAATAATAATAATAATAATAATAATAATAGGTGTGAAATCCAAAGAACTGGAATAAAATAATAATAATAAATTCGTGAACACAGATTGAGAGGAAATGTGATGAGGATTTCAGACAAATGGATAATTATTGTAAATGTTGGTGCTGAGCGGGCACAAGAGTGAAACATAATAAACCTGGAATTATTCATTGGTAGACAAGAAAGAGTACAAACATTAGAAATAGCTATAAACTATCAGGCTGCCTCTCTGCAGCTCTCTGGCCATAAATCAATGCGCAAAGTGAGTAACGTGGTTACTATTGAGCTGAAGGAAGGTTTTTAATGTGCCACACAGCCGAGAGAAACAGGCATCAGTTACCAGGAAATACAGCCTACTGAAAGGTTTGCAATATTCATCCTCATTAATCCACTGACACTTTTTAGCTGAAATCTGCTTAATTTTCAGACATCGCAATGGCGGTGGGGGCAAGGGGAAATTAAAACAACGAAATGGCCATCTGACATATATCCTACCTGATCTCACAAAAAAGATCTAATCGGCCCTTTCAGCAGCCTGAGATGCACTTTGCCTATATGTGCAGTTGGATTCTGCGTAAACCTGAAAATGAAATATTTATTGTGTCACTCGTGACAATTCTGCGGAGGTTGTGTGCGGATAGGGATGTCTGCTGCTGAGAAAGGCCACTGTTGTATCTGTCTGTGTGGCTGGCACTGGTGCAGTAAATGCAATTCCTTCACATTTTCATCATGAAATCACGATAGATTTATCCTTGTTGGTCAGTGAGAAGCCTCCATCACTTTCACAGCTTCGCTTCTCTTCTCCTGGATACATCAAAGAGTTTTGTTCCCCCCATTCTTACCCCAGGTCACTTTCCTGCATGAAGTTACCAGTCAGACAGATTCATAGGGACGTGATCTATACAACCCGGCCTTTGCTGACGGACCTGCATGCAGACTCCGCCGATAACACATGCACAAAGCCGCTTACGCAACCGAAAGCGACTGATACCGCAGAAAGACGTTTCACGAGTTATTCTCCTCCCACGTTTTAGCTGAACGCAGTGTTCGAAGACTTCAGTCAGGATTACAAGACTGGAAATCTGCCCTTGAACAGCTGGGCCCGAATATGTAGACTCCATCCAGGCCTTCAGGATTTGCTATTCAAGTCACATGGGGGAATGGATTTCTTAAAAAAAAAAAAAAAGGTTTCCCAGACTTTAGCGGTTTAAACCTTGAGTAAACTCTGTGGGACTACACATGTGAGTCGCATCCTAATACTCCCCAGATGTAATATGAACATCCATATAATCATTATTTGATTTTTCCCAATTCTCCATTGTCTGAGCCCTTGAGATGACGACTGCCTTTTCATGTCGCAGCCTCAGAGATATGAAGAATAAATTGGTTTTGGATTTCACGTCCTAGTATGGAGAGTGCACATTCTCGACTTCTCTTGTTCTCATCAATAAGCTCCTTCAGGTAATGTAGTTTTGGATAGCTGGAGCATTACAACAGAATCATGGGAATATTAGGACAAATTTTACGTGACGCTACGAATCTGAAGCAGGATTTTTTTTTCTGTTTTTGACGTTACAGTACTTTCCCATGTGTCTTATTGACAGACAACTCCAGTTCTCAGCCAGGGTTTAAACCATAAGTTTTATAGCCCCAAAACAACATGGTGAAATGCAATAAAGCAAGTTCAGTTTTTGTCATGACAACATTTTTTATGTGCCCTCAATCAAACATTCGTGCATTATTATTAAGGTTAGGTTGATAATATTTACTTCAAATAGAAATGGTCCCCAACACAAAAAGAGTATACAGTTCTTCTAATTCCAAACTTCTTTACATAAATTAGTGGACCTACATTCCCTTTTTAACTTTGTTCTCAGGAATACAAAAGAGCAGAACTGTGGCAGATCTGATATATCTGGTGTCACCTTTGCACCAATTGTATTCAAAGTCAGACCCTTCGATTGACAGACACGTACAAAATGATTTGCCCAGAAGACACAGGCAGGCTATCTTAGTTTACTTTTTGAATTAGTCACTCTCATTGCTTTTGGCAGATAAGTCCTTTAATCAAGATGCTCGATAGGTACTTTTTTCTCCATCTCGATGGACCTTCCAGGTGGTCACGTCTCAATTGTCTAACAAATGCTGTAATTTCCTTATCATAACCTTCAGCTTTTAAGCCTTTTCTGGTGATCAAGTACCATTAAAGAAATTCACAGAATCCTTGTTCTTAATTTCCAAAACTGCCATTTAATTAAGATGCATACCATTATTTTTTCAAACCTGCTTTTTTCCTCTTCAGCACAGGTGAGTACGTGAGATGGGCTATCGGCGAAGTCCTCCCTCCAGGAAATGTTTCTGCAGAAAAGGCATTTTCCTTTGCAAATGGATTCTCAATGACATGAGCATCCATGACTCATCATCCTTAAAACACATCCCATAGTATTACGAACAGCGAGTATCTGGTTGAGGTGGATAGTGCCCAGCACATTCAGGGTGGAAATACTGGCTTGTTTTTTTTTTTTTAAATAAACTATGTCACCTGTTAACCAATTAATTCAAGTTACTAATTCAAGATTAAATCATCCATCCAATCATCCAATCATCCATCCATCCTCCAACCACTTATCTAGTCCAAGGTCACAGGGACATTGAAATCATCTCAGCTGGAAACCCATTAATAATTAAAAGCCAAAACCAGCAGACTATGTTACACTAGAGAACTGGATTCAGCCATCCCCTGTCCTACATTTCTGACGACATACAAAACAAATGTCTCTTGCTGTCTTGCACGGCCATCTCGCACGTGCCCGTCTAGTCATTACTAATTGTTCAACCTCCTCCTAACGGTCGAGCCCGCACAGTGGCAGGGTGCGGTGCACATTTTGGCGAGAATTAGGAGAGTAACGTGGGATGAGGTGCCCAGCATTGACGCAACTCATTTGGTTCAGATGGCAAAAGGGTCCTTGGGCGCCAACTAAATCAGTTATGACGGTCTGACCTTTTCTGTGCCTGATGGAAAAGGGCAAACAGATGGCACATGTGTGAATTTCAGAGATATATAGCAGTTTCATTTCTGCGAAAGGGAAAACGTGACAACGGTGTGGGCCCTGGAATTTTTTAAGGCTTGCGTCAGGTAAGTACCGGGCCATTCTAATGTGTGTTACTAGTTCATATGTGGTGTTTAAACATGCTTAAGGGATATTTTGATATTTCTAAGTCCTGTAATGTCTATTACAGTTAATCGCCATATGTTGATGTTGTTACACCGGCCTTCAAGACCCCTAGAGCCACACCTCACTGCCTTTATGCCTTAAAGTGAAGCACTGTTGCTTAAAAACGCTTTTTTTTTTAACCTCAAATCAGCCCATCTGCAGAAAAAAAAATCCCATAACCTTGAGCGAGGGGACAGGTATATCTGAACACCCCCAGTGGAATCCGCCAGTCCTGGGTGACCCTGAAGTGTCCTCCTACTTTATCCATTTGCTTCTCGATGCCATTCACAGGCCCGGCCTGACCCTGGAGGCTAACGTCTTCCTCACAGTTAAGATGCAGCCATCCATGTATTTCTTTAAACCCTGGTGTTTCCGTTGTTTATGGGGAAAGGAAATGCATTTGTGTCGTAGTTGAGTCTTTCTGGGAAAAAAAAAACGGATTGCTTTAGCCTGAAAGATAACGCAGACCTGAGCGAGGGCGCACGCGCTTACCAAAAGATTGTCGTACTTACGGTATTTTGGCCGATTTGTTTTTGAAATTGCACGTTTACCTGGCTCTCAGCATATTTCCCTGCGTTATTAGGTGCTTTTCCCCATTGTTAGGTGTGAAGGTGAAGTGTACTTTCCATCTCTTACACCTAAAATTAGATTATTTTGTTCCTGCTCCCCCCACATCCTGCTGCTTCCGCCCAGATGGTGCGGAATAATGCATGAGAATGAGGCTGAGGAGCCATTGTTCAAGCGGGTGGGCAGGCCCTGGCACCTCGGAGAAGACAAATCGCGGCTGAGGAGCGGCTGGGACCCTAACACCACCGTTCCTCACAGATACAGATCCTCAGATCTTATCCGCGGGCCGTAGGTGCTGCAATGGGGGTTTGCCGAGATTATGATCAGCATCCCTGGAAAATAAATATTCCCGGATCTTGAATGCGCCGTTTAGAATGCGGGATGAGCGGAGGGGATTAGCGTGTCTGGAAAGTGAGGGAAACTGTGTCTGGGAAACTTGGAGGGTGGGGTACACGCGGCATCTTCTCCATCCTGATTGGCCGCAGGTATGGATCACAAATGACTAAACCTGCCAAAGCCTCAAGCAGAGGTGGCCGGACAACATTCCCTAAACAAAGGAGATACCATTTTAATTCATATATATTTTTGGGGCTTTTACAAAAAAAAGAAAATTACATCCACAGGTCTTTTGTAAAAAGTGAACAATAAAATAATCATTATATATACAGCCACAGAAAAAAGTTTTTGTTTCACTTTT